TCCAGGCCTTCCCTCTCTAGCCATGCACAGCTGCAGTGGGCGTGGTCAACTCTGAAGCCGGCCGGAACTCCGTTCCTGTGTATTCCTGCTCAAAAATAGCCCTGCATCTTTCTAAATCCATTGGAGTCAATGGGGCTATGAAGGTGTAACTCTGCTAGAAAATTTTGCTACACTAGACATTGTCCACAGGTTTGATTGTGTTAACTGGGTGCTGAACAGATCTGACACCTTTTTCACTCCTACCGGTATAAAAGGGCTGAACATATCTGGCACTCTTTATCACCAGTTCCAGCTGTTCAGCATGACTGTGGTGCTCGTCTTGGAATGTTGCATAGAAATGCTGCAAGTAATTCCTCCTGCATTTTATTTCCCCCTGCATACATCCAATTCTGTTGCCAGAGGCCAGTGGCAGCTCAAGGCACTTTGCTGGCCCTCGTACGCCCACGCCTCCCCTCTGCAGCTGCTACCCCACAAGGGGTGGAGCAACAGGACCTGAATAGGGCAAGAGTGACAAATAAAATGGAGTTAAGACCCTTGAGTTTTTAAGGCAAAAAATACACAGCCCTGATTATAATAAAGGTAAAGGTTCCCTGGCTCGAAAGCTAGTCGAATCCGACTCTAGAGTTGCAGTGCTCATCTCCGTTTCAAAGCCGAAGAGCCAGCGCTGTCCGAAGACGTTTCCGTGTTCATGTGGCCAGCATGACTAAACACCAAGGTGCACGGAATGCTGTTACCTTCCCACTGAAGTGGCACCTATTTATCTACTTGCAATTCCTTGCTTTCGAACTGCTAGGTTGGCAGGAGCTGGAACTAGAGATGGGAGCTCACTCCGTCATGCGGCACCCTGGGTCTGGAACTGCTGAACAACCGACCTTCCACAGCCTGCAGTTCAGCATCTTAACCACTTGAGCCACCTGATTATAATACTGAGAAGCAATTTAAGCTTGTATGTGGCTGACGGGCTATCTGCTTGCTGAAAACACATGAAGCTGCCTTATACTGAGTCAGACTATGGTTCTGATCCTTTTAACTGGAGATGCCAGGGATTGAACCTGGGACCTCCTGCATGCCAAGCAGATGCTTTATAATGTAGTCACAGGCCCATGGATCCTGCAAAGCAGATGCTCTATCCACAGCAGTGTTTGAAAGAGAGATCGCTGCCTGTAAATCTGGCAAAGGACCTACACGCCATGGAGCCAGAACCAATCGTGGCTCCCTGATGAGTATGCTGCATGTATCATTACCTTTACAGCAGTAATTATGCTGCAAGGCAAGTGACGGTGGGCAACAAGAAATTGCCTTCTATGCTTCTGCTGTCCTTCCTTCCTCCATGTAAATCAGTTTGTACTGTCAGCAGCTACCACAGGCATATGTCTCCACTAGGGTTCCCAAGTACTTGCCGTGATCCGGCGGGGGAAACATGCTCCCCGGCCGGACCATTCCTCCTTGTAACACACCATGCCATCGCCAGGAAGTGACGCTGGGCGACGCTCTGGCAATGGGACTGAGCCCATTGCCAGAGCGCTGCCTGGTGTCACTTCCTGGCAACAGCATGGTGTGGTGCATCTGTTGTCCCTGCAGGAATTATCTGTGTCCCCCATCGGATCATGGTAAGTACTTGGGAACCCTAGTTTCCACTGGGGTGACTGGAGTACATGCCGTGCAATCCTAAAGCCACTTACCTGAGAGTAAACCCTATTGAATAGAGCTAAGTACACATGCTTGGGAGTACTCTCATGCTCAGTGGAGCCTCTGAATGATTCCACACACACCCCATGGCCCAATTTGAAGAGGCAGGGCCAGAGTTTGCAGTCCTGCAGTGACAGGGTGGCCCTCTCTGTGGGTGGGCAATTCACAGCCATTCAGACTCCAAAAGAAAATCTTCCTGGTGTAAGAAAGAAGCATGTCTTCCATTGTAATGCAGACAAGAAAATGTGCCTCAGTTTACAGACCTCTGGGAAGCACCAGTTCACCAATGTGCATTTCCCTTTAGATTTTATGGCATTCAGTGAGGAAGCAGAAAACTGGTCTGCTGCGTGTGATGTGAACCAGCCCTACAGCAACAAAGAATATTTTTTTAGGACACTATAGACATAAAACGTACCTGGTACATTTGTCATAATATATAATATATATTTATTTTTAATATATTACATTTCTTTCTACAAAACCAGACTATAAATACTGTTCTGCCATTTTTCCCGACGATTCGTAGGTTCCCAGCACTTGAATATTATAGTACAAAAACATGACTAAAAACCAAAAATACAAAGTAACACTGGTCACAATAGCTCTACAGTTTCATTTTAAAAAAAGGGTCTTGTAATATACATAATACATTTTTAGAACATCGGGCCTCCAAACTGTCTAACAATTCTTATCCTTCAAAGTATCATTCAAAATCTGAGCAGCTAGTTGAGTAACATGCTATTGATACACATGGATTTAATGACTAGATTTCTTTGCTGGATTACTTCCTAGATATGTTGGGATCCATTTTGTTTGTCAACTGAGGCAAAGGCCACCAACACCTGAGGTAAAATTCCTGGATTATTTAGCAGATTTTGTATGTACTGACAAAGCCAAGAATACTTCTGCAGAAAATGTTCCTCTAAAGAGTCTCAGCTGATCAAGGCCCACACAGTCAAAAACAACCTCCTTCTGAAAGGAGAATAATCACTCTTGTCAGCCATCACAGTTTCAGCAGTATTGTCATGGAGATTTAGACCACAGGTTCCTTTGATGGAAGAGGTATACAGAGTCACATCCTAATCAGGTCTGCTTACAATCCTCCTCGACCCTCTTCAATGGGGCTTACACCCAGGAAAATGTTTTTAGGATTGTCTTCTTGAAGGGCGATGCCCAAGGAGAACAAAGGCACTGTTATAAGTTCATTTGTGGTAAAAATAGAAAACCCAGATGATTGTGACTGAATGCTAATCCATCTTCATGCAATTGCACAGACATGTGGTGTCAAAACTAACATTTCATGTACGTCTCAGTGTCTTAACAATTTGAAATAATGCTTGGAATAATCTAAGCAGGTATATTTGTATGAAATACGGTGCTTGGATTCAGGAGGGTATCCCTGTTGGTCTGCAACAGAAGAGCTAGATTCCAGGCTAGTAGCACCTTAAGAGACCAATAAGATTTTTCAGGGTATACGTTTTCGAAAGTCAAAGCCCCTTCATCAGATACAGCACTTGGGGATCTTAATTTAAGCTTAAACACTGACTTTGGTTCCAGTAGTCCATGGAGCACTTGTTGTCCTTCTTATCAAAGAAGATGTAGAGAAACACATACTTTTTCTAATCCTGTGACTATAGATGTTGTGGGCATCGAATACCACTGGTTTAAGAAAAAGGCAATGTTCAGTGTGAAGTTCTGTTGTTATTTATCTCCCCCCCCTTCTTAAACAGGAGGTATCTCAGGGCCATAGACCAGCACACCAGGAGTCTGAGAAAGGTCTTCCCTTGTAGGTAAGAGTTCCGTTTCTTCGCCAGAGTAAACCGTGGTGTCCATATCATCCGAATGATATCCTGACTGGTAGCCACTTGTCTGGTTTGAAGCTTCAGACATAACAGACTCATTGCTTTTACTGGAGACCAATCCACTGCAAAATAAAAATAGGTATTATGAACTCTAAGCATGCTCTGAACATTTATTCCCAGTTTCCCTTTGGCTTTAAAGACAAATGTGGACCAGCATGGAAATATACAGTGCATTCCTAGGCAGATTTACATTTCTTTAAATCCAGTGAATTCAGTGGATTTAGAAAGGTGCAAGTCTGCTTATAATTGCAATGATAGTCACTCTTGGTATGATCAGGAATATTCAAATGTATGGTTGATTTCATATTACCTTTTCAAACAGCACGGTTTCCATTATTGGCCCATCATGGAAGAAACCGGTACAGGGATGGCTGTTTCACACAGCATTTCCCTTCCGGTAAGGAGCCATCTCTGAAGCGCTGTGGCCATTTCAAACTGTGCCACTTTCTTTTCCCGCCATTTTCCTCTGTGCACATGATCTCCCTGAGAGGGTTTCTTTGTTAACATTCCATTGGGAGCACTATGACGCTGATGTGACGTCCTGTTACAGCATCACAGCATTCCCAATAGAACATTAAAAAAGGAGAGAGAGATTGGGGGGAAAGGGCACGAAAAATCTGTAACTGGAGGAAGTGCTACATAGGGGCATTTCACACCGCCCACTGTAGCGATTCAAATCTGGAATAAGGGATTGAAGACCTGAGGAAAGCCGTTTTCGTCGACAATGCCTCAGGCACGCTTCCCAAGCAGGAGACAACCGGCATTGTATGAACAGGTAAATATATTCCATTAACAGCCGGTTACTAAAATGGGTCTGTCTGAAATGACAGGGGAAAAAACCATTAGTAACCAGTTCCTGAAATAGGATAGGCTGTCTGAAATCCTTCTATATCTTAGGTTATATATGCTTGGAGGATAATGAATACTCTCTGGCTTTGTTCAGACCTTTATGGATCCTCTTCAAGAGGTGGAAAAGCGAACACATTGTCTCTTTTCGTTGCACAAAAAAAGCAATGAGCCCCAGTGTGTTGCTCACGGGTGCCATGGTCATGGTGTTCCCCAAAGTATTTCCTTATGCCCACTTGCTTTCTCCCCAGAACACCTCTTCCACAAAGCAGAGAGTCAGTCCCCGCTTCCCTCCACTTCATTGTAGCAGGAGATGTTTCAGAAGAACCCAGGAAGTATCACCTTTGGGTCTTCAGGGAGTGCCCTTTCAAAAACAGCTGCCTCCATCGGAGGAGGATGCTTGACTTGGGACCTCTCAATCTTTTGTAATCCTCCCCCACGGAAAAACCACTGTATGGTAGTACTCCTTATATTTTCCTCAACATCCCAAAAGTGCCCAAAGGCTCAACAAGGTGGGGGACCCCTGAAATAAAGTTGCATCTGACGCGAGAGCTCCATGCATCAGGCTGTAGGCCTGACTGGTGTGATCTACCCTTCCTAAAAAAGAGGGGAATTGTGCAAAAGAGCACAGAGCTAATCTTAGGGCACGGTGCAGTGGAGATGTTTCCATAGGAGGTCCAGCTTTCTTCTCTCCCCCCCACCTTTTCGTGAGTATTTGGGGTATGGGTGTGCGCCTGGAAGTCATGGTTGACTTCTGGCGACCCCTAGTGGGGTGTGGGTGTTTCAGAGAGGTGGCTTACTATTGCCTGCTTCTGCATCCCAGCCCTGGAATTCCTTGGAGGTCTCCCTTCCAAGGACTTGCCAGGGTCGGCCCTGCTTAGCTTCCAAGATCTGATGAGATCAGGCTTGCCCGAGCTATCCAGGACAGGACGTCTTCCTTTTTCCATGTTGGGAACATTTCAAAGCTGTCCTTTTTTAAAGGGCATTTCATTGCAAGTTTGGAAACCAAATTGTTCTTTCATTGTTAGGATTATACTTTCAGTTATTTTGTGGCTGGCTTTTGGTCTTTAAATCTTAG